TGAGTTGCTGAACACGGTTACAAGGGTGATAACGGACTCCCGGGGGTGCCTGGGTGTATACTGGAATGTCTCAGCTGCTGGGGAAGGGAGTGTGTCTTCACCTGCCCTTGTGAGCACCGAGGTGACGCGTGGGCAGCTGTGGGGGGCTGAGGCGGGGGTGGAGCCAAGGCCCTTCCAGGCCTTTCCCTCTGCAACTCATTAGCACCCAAAGCCTAAATTTACTGCCTCCGCTCCCTCACTTGCTGGCTCTGACCTCATTCGGCCCCTGCCCTCTCCTGAGACAGGGGACTGGGAAGGAGGGACGACTCTTAACCTGCGGAGTGGGATCCCTTGGGGGAGGAGGGAAAGTCCTGGGGGGAGGGGAGGGGGGACGCTGGGGCACAGAACTTAATATGGTCACAGGCCAGGCTGAGGAGGATGTCGTCTCCTATTACACCTGCCACCTGGCCCCCATCCATGTGACCAGCTCCTGCTGGGGCGGCGTGGGCAGAACAAGGAGCACCTAGTCCTGGACACTGCAGGGTGCCGCCTACTCGCGCCCCCTCCACATGCACTCAGCTGGAGCCCCGCTCCCAGCTCATGCTCCTGGGAAGGGGCAGTGTCCAGCCAGTTCTCTGCTCCGTGTGGCTCTGGCATGACTCAGCTGGGTGGCTCTGACCAGTGGGCCTGCTCAGGAAGAGAGGGAAAGCTTGAGGACACCCACTGATCTCAGCACAACTGACAAAGGGACAGCTTCCTCTAGTACATATGCAGTCCCCTCCCCACCCCCAGAACCATGGCCCCGCGCACACTATGGGACACCTCTGGGCAGAGCCTTAGACTAGTCCTAGAGGTGACAGCCAGGGTGAGAAACAGCAGGGATGGCCAGGTCAGCAGCCCCCTCCCAGGCCCTCCAGGAGACCCGGGGTGAATGCTATGAAAGGCGAATGCAAGCAGGTTCAAGGCCAGTGCTAAGCCCCTCTTACCCTCACACTAAGGGAGGACACAGCCCTGTCCCCAGGGAGCCCCAGTCTGAGGGGGAGCCCAGTGTGACGGAATCATCGTGCCACTTGCCCTCTCTGGAGTTTTCTGTGTGACCTTGGGGTTTTTACTCAGCATCTTACAGCCTCTGTTGTTCTGTCTGTATAATGGCCACACAGCCACAGACCTCGAGGATATCTGGTGCATGCCTGTCAGCTCGCAAATGTTGAGTAAAAGGTGGCTGTTCTTTCTCAATTGGGGTTTTCTTGCAGAAGAAATCATTCCTTTTTGTCTGTAATTGGGGAAGCCAATTGCAGTGGGAGCTCGTGCACCTCCTATTCCCACCCCAAAGACCAATGTCTGGAGGGTCTGGCTGCCTTGACCCTCATGGCCTCCCAGGCAGCCCTCGGCTGTCATTACAGTCAACAAATAGTGCAGCACAGGGACAAGGCAAGCCCTGCAGCCACCCACCCCAGGCCAGTCCACGCCGGGGCTACTCGGGGAAGGGGAGGAAGCAGGGTCCCTCTCACTAGCCACCTGCCCCCTGCCACTCCTGTCTGTCAACCTGGGGGACACTGGACAGCCTCTGGCCTGGCTTCATGGGGCCTGGGTGGTGAACCCAGTCGGACCTGCAACTGTGAGTGAGGACAGGACGCTGGCAAGAGGTTGCATGTGTTTGTCTCCAGACCAGTCACAGCTGAAGGGTGGCATTCCCTCCCACATCCACTGAACCATGATGCCACATGCTCCTGTCCCCAAGACTAAGCCTTTCCCCAGACTGGAGAGTGCAGACTCTAGCTGAAAATGCCCTCAGAAAACACTGTCCCATGGCTTCTGGTCATTGACTTCCTGAGTACCCAGTTTTTTAAATTTACTTTTTATTGAGGTGTCAGATTTATGCATCAAACTATACAAATCTTAAGGGTGCAGCTTAGTGAATTTTTACACATGTATACCCCCATATAACCACCACCCAGAAGAAGCACAGAAACTTCCAGCACCCCAGAGGGGTCCCTCAGGCCCCTCCTAGTCAATTCCATCCCCTAGAGATAACCACTATCTGACTTTTTTCACCATAAATCTGCTTTGCCTGTTTGGAACCTCATGTGAATGGAATCATAGAGTGTGTACTCTTTCCTGTCTGCTCATGTTCAACGCTGCCCCTGTGAGGTTCGTCCATGTTACTCATGTGACAGTAGCTCTTCCTTTGTCCTTGCTGAGTAGTATTCCATTGAGTGGATATACCAGTATTTATTTACCTATTCTACTGATGATGGACATCTGGGTTGTTTCCAGTTTTTAATTAACATCATTAAGACAGCCACAGCATTCTTGTACATATATTATTGTAACACATAAACATGGCAACCCATTATTGAGATCAGATTTTCTTTTCTTTTTTTCTCTATTTTTTTTCAACACTTGATCAAGAGGGCAGAGATCACATTTTGAGGGGAATGTGAGGTTAAGAATTCTAGGAAGGGAAGGAGGGATTAAAAATTACTGAGCTCCTACTCTGGGCTCTGAGCTTTTTGTTTGATCCACTGGACCAGTGACAAGAGAAGGAAGACAGAGACAGCAACGCCCAAGGAGGACCACGCCAACCTCATCGCTGAGCCTGGAGATGGCTGTGTGTGTGTTTACGTGTGTGCATGTGTGTGTGATTTGCATTTGTTTCCCGGGGCTTCCATAACAAATTACCATAAACTCAGTAGCTTAAAACAACAGAAATGTATTCTCGCACATTTAAGGAGGCCAGAAGTCTGAAATCTGGGTGTTGGCAGGGTCTGTGTCTTCTGGTGGCTGTGAGACAGGCTCTGTTGCACGCTTGTCTCCTACTTCCTGGTGGCTGCTAGCAGTCCTTGGTGGTACTTGGCCTGCATCTTCATCACTCCAACCTCTGCCTCCATGGTCACACGGCCTTTTTCTCCGTGCACCTCCATGTCTCTGTCTCCACGTCTCTCTTTGTATAAGGACACCAGGCATTGGATTTAGAACCCCCCCCAGTCCGGTAAAATTTTATCTGAACTTGATTACATTTACAAAGGCCCTATTTCTAAGGTCACATTTCCCTGCTACTGTGCAACATATCTTCTGGGGGGACACAGCTCAACGAGCAGCAGTAATTATGACTACGTGCGCGTGTGTCTGAGACGGTCAGGGTGCGTGCGTGTCTGCGTGGGTGTATGTAATGTGCATAAGCATGAGGGAGTCCTAAGCGTGCTGCTTGTATGTGCTTGTGAGAACACGTCTGCGTGGGTGATCCTGGCTGTGCTTATGTGGCTGTGGGCACGTGGACATGAGTGTGTGTGTACGTGTGCTTCTGTGCCCATGTTTAGAGACCCTGCTGGGCAGGCTGAGAAGGATGGCAAGGAAAGATGGTGGCAGCAGGTTGAGAAGGTGCTTGGGACCAGCCCAGTAGGTAGGCAGGGCCTTGCCCCGGGGGTCCAGAGGCTAGCCGTGGATGCCGGCTCTGGAAAACAAGGGCACAGGTGTGTGCCGAGCTGGGGTGCAGGCCGGTAGGCCCAGGCAGTGGCTCCCTACAGCAGTGCCTGTTTTCGGGTCCCCTTCCAGGAACGTTCCTAGAAGGCCCCTCCACCCAGGCTCCTGTCCCTTGCACCCAATTTGCATGGACAGGGAGGAAGGCACTGGCTGACTCACCCATCCCAGGGCTGGAAGCAGGCACTCAGCTACCTTCTGTGCCAGCCAGGTAGGAGCAAGGCAGGTAGCCAGCCCCTCCCTGGCCCCACCCCCAGGACAACCTGGAGTAGCACCAATCACATCCCTCACGCCCTGCCGTGCCTCCCAACCTGCATACTACACCTGGGCTGGGGCTGGACCCCAGGAGTCAAAGATGGGGTGAGCATGTGGTCAGTCAGGTGAGGACCAGGCCAGCTCTCGTAGGCAAACCCATCACCAAGCGACAGGATATTGGGAGCATCTCCCTAGTAGTAATGTTGGCACAGAGCCTGCTCTGAGCCTGGTTATCTTATTTAAACTTCCCAGCCAAGTTTATATGGTGTTCTCATGATCCCCATTTTAGAGATGCAATCACTGAGGCTCCAAGGAGTTAAGTGATCTAAGATTATACACGTTTGTTTATATTTGCTGGAATTTTTCAATTCTCTCTGGAAATCCACATCCTCCACCCCCACAGCCCAGACTCAGACCACAGCTGCTGTCACCACGGCTCGTCCCCAACACACCCTTGAAGTGCAGTCTTCCTCCCATCCTTCCCCAGGAAGATTCCCAGGCCCATGGGGTGGGGGATATTGGGGTGGTCTCTCCTCCCTCCCATCCCCCTGGGTTCCTCTGCGAGGTCGTGGTTTTGGTGTGGCAGCAAGCTTATTGCCTTTTTGAGTACTCTATATTGGTGGGTTTTGGAGCACACACCTGGAGGAGGAGGTGTCTGGACATGAGGGCAACTTCCAGTGGGTTTACTTACCCTCCAGGGACACAGGTGGGTGTCGGGGCAGTGGGACGTACAATGCACAGGTTGTACCTATGTGTGTGCATAGACACAGGTGTGTGAGCCCACATGAGTGCTCATGAAGCGCTTGCCCCCCTGCACGCTCGGGGTCTGCAGAATGCCCCTGTCCTGTCCCCCTTCCCAGGTAACTGCTACCATCCTCAGTTCAGAGTCCTGGGCCCCAGGTAAGAGCCTGGTGAAAACAGCCTGTGACTGGGACAGAGACACCTGAGTCTCAAGCCCCGCCCAACTGCCAGTGCCCTTGAGCGGGCATCACCCCACCCAGGCGGCGGGAGTGTCCTCGCCCAGTGGGATGGGGTGACGAGGGGGAGGAGGCAGCGGCGCGGCTCTCGGCTCCCTAGATGGAAGGCTCGTGGCCCCAGCACTTGGTAGGTTGTAGGGAAGCAGGGTCGAGCCAGGACTTGGCACTGACTACAAAGGGTGGGGGACACCCCCCAGCACTGCCGCCACAGCCGGCCGGGGGGAGGGGCCGTGACGTTCAGTGGCCTCATGCTGCCGAGAGGAAGTAGCTAATTGCCGACCTGATGACTGGTGCCCGAGGAGTGGGGTGATGATGCCACTGGCGGAAGCAGGCGCCCTGGCCCAAGGAGGGGGCCCTTCCGCACGGGGTGGGCCTGCACGCTGCGGAGGGTGAGGCTGGGGTGGCGGGAGCCAAAGGAGAAGCGGGCAGGGGTTTGTCGAGGCTGAGACCGTGGGAAAGGGCTTCTCCGGGGCTTCCCTCAGCTTCAAGGGAAAGGAGCTCAGAGGGGACGAGGGGAGATGGGAAGGGGCTTCAGGGGGTGGGGTGGCAGAGGGTGCCTTTTCTTGCTCCCCTCTGCCTACACTCCCCCCACCTTCCCATCTCTCCCCTCCCCCACCTTAGCCCCCCCCTCGGCCCCGTAGCCAAAGTTGGGGAGGAAGGAGAGGGTGATGGAGGGTCTTTTCACCAGGAGAGCCCCAGGCACAAGCCGCCTCCCCTGCTAAAGGCAGAGCATCCAGAAGCAGCAGCCAGACTTCCGCTGTCCTCAAAGACAGGAAAAGAGGATGCTTCAGGCAGAAAGAGCAGCACAAGCACTAGGCAGCGGGGTTTGGTGAGGCCGATGAGAGTCTGGGGCTTGGCTGCAATGACTCTGAGAGGAGGTGGCAGGACATTCTGTCCCAAGGGCCACACTGTCCCTTCCTGGCAGAAATGGTGGGTACCCAGCAAGCAGAGTTTTTCCCAAATGCTGGCCACAGCCTCTGGCCCTGGCATCCCTGGCCCTCGACTGCCTGGGCAAGGGCCAGGACCAGGTCAGGAGCTTCACAGGATGGGGACCCCACCTCCACATTCCAGATGCATCAACCTCAGAGGACTGAGCCTGGAGTCCCCAGAAACAGGACCTGTCCATCTGTAGGTCAGTCCTCTGGGCCCGTAGCGCCCCCTATGGGCAAGAAGCAACAGGAGTGGGGGAGGAGACTTCATCACCCTGGAAAGGGTCTGAGCTCAGACCCTGCCTCAGGGATCCCCTAGTGTGGTGGAGGAGACTGGATTCTGACCTCAGAGCTCTAGTCTGATCAGGGAAATTCAGCCCCTGTCCTCAGGAAGCTCCCAGCCTAAGAGCTCCATTCTTAAGGGTGAAACTCAGCATCTGCCTTCTGGAAACTCCCAGACTGAGGGGAGAGACACAACCCCTGCCCTCGGGGATCTCTCCAATGAGGGAGCTAAGTTGGATTTTCGGGAGCCCCTTATCTGTTTCAGGACATGGATTAGACATTTCAGTGCCTCTAGAGCTGTCAGAAAAGACAAAAAAATACAAGACCCCCAGTTAAATGGAATATCAGATAAACAATGAATGACGTTTTAGTATAAGTATATCCCATACCATATGTGGGATATACTTATACTAAAAAAATCCATTTAACTAGCCGTCTTGTATTTTTATTTGTCAAATTTGGAAACCCTAGGTGCCTATGGTTTGAGGGAGGAAGGGGGGGCACCCCCTCCATCCCAGACATGGGAAAGCAGGTAAACACCGTGGCATGCTCGGTCGGGCAGGGGTGGGGCAGGAGGAGAATCCTGGGGCTCCAGCTCTCAGCAGTTTAAAATTCCTTCCAGGCCAGATCCCTAATCCCTCGGTGTACAATGGCGGCCTTCTCCCCCGCCGCCCGCGCCCACGCCCTCCCCGGCGGGCCGTGGCAGTGCCACCACCGGCCTCTTTAAGCCCCTTTGAAGCCGCCAGAGCCCCGCGCCGCGGGAGGCCCCGCCGCTATGCCAGCTATGCCAGCTATGTCCCCGCCGCCCATTAATACTGGCTAATCTGGCTAATAAATAAACTCCCCTCCCAGCCCCAGACCCCCGCTGACTCCTCCCCGCGCCCCCAGCGCTGATTTCAGGCTCGGCTGGCACAAGCGGCCCCACTCCTCCACCGCTCTGACGTCTCTGACTTTTTTCCTATCGCTGTCCGAGGCCTGTTGCCCGGCTCTGATTCCTTGGGACATTTGGGGTTTGGAGGTCTCGGCCTGGCCCGCTGCGTTCGCCTCGCTGGCTTCCAGCCCACCTGCGCGCCAGGGCGGGCGCGGGGCGGGCGCAGACACCGCGCGGGCCCGGGAGGCTCAGCCCCGCCGGCCCGCGCGCCACTGTCCGCCGCCGCGCCACGGGCCGGGCAGGTGACTCGCTGGGGGCGGCGCCGGCGCCTCCTGCGGCCGGAGTGCGTTCTCCGCGGCCTCTGCCGCCCTCTGCGTCCCCACCCGGGCTTCCGAGAGTGTGACTCAGGGCGCGCCGGCACCGCTTCACCTCCTCCAACACACCCGGAGCGCACGCGGAGAAACGACAGCATTGCAGGGGCACGGCTAATGCGCTCTAATGACCCACCTCCGCTGTCATCCGCGGCTCTGGCTCCAAGGCGCTGGGCCAACGCGCCTGCCCTAATGGGGCCGCCCCTCCTGGGCCCCGAAACCCGCCCTGCACCACCCTCCCCGGGCCGGGTCCCCAGGACCACTAGCTGCCTCCTCCAGCCGCCCTCCGAGACTGCCCCTCAGCCCCAAGAGACAGCTACGAGGCCTAATCACCTGAGGCTGGAGGAAGAGCAGGACTTGAGGACTTGGGGAAGCCCGCTGCTCCCCCCACACACGTAAACACACACACAACCTATGGTCCTTGCAGGTGTCTGCTAGGAGAGACCCGGAGCATGGCGAGGGGGCAGGAAGCTATTTCCTTGACCGCAATACTGAGGCCTACTGGAAACACTGGGAGGGCTGGGGTGTGCGCGCAGGGCACCAAACACTATCCCCATTTTGCACTTGAGGCAGGGAGAAGTGGAGGCTCTCAGGAAAAGCCACCCAGCCAGAACTTCCAGATCAGCTCATTTAACAGTGGCGGTGGCACTTTGCGACAGAGCACCGTGGGCTCCTTCCCCTGGCAGGGCAATTACCTTTCTGCAAAGAAAAGCGATGCCCCCCATCACAGACCTGGAACGCCCACCAGCTGGCCAGCTGTGGCCTCTTGGTCACAAGGGAGCTGGTGAGGAATGGGGTGGCTCAGGTGCGCCATCCCAGGAAGGGTTCGAGAAGACCTGAAGACACAGGAGCCAGGCCTAGAAGGGTAACTTGGCCATCAGCTTCTTCACTCTGACCAGGCTCAGGTCTCTCCCTGTCAGGAATTCTTTCCTGATGGCCCAGGGGGTTGCACACTCATGGTCTGGGGCCAGGTTTAATCTTCAGTGAGGTTTGCTTGGCTTGCAGTGAGCGTGCGGCTTTTATGTTGTGTGAGAGCCCGCAGACAGTGTGGGTTCCCCGATTGCCCCCCCAGCTGGCCAAGGCAGACCCCAGACTGAGACCAGCCCGCTAGCCCGAGCCTTTGGCCTGAGACTCAGTGTGCATGTTTCTTGGGGAGCATGCCTGGGTGAGTGTCCCTGGGAGCCCCCCTTGTCAGTCACCTTCAGGCTCCCCACATGTAGTGGTGGTGGCAACTGCACATGCTTCTGGACACCCCTCCGGCACCCACTTTTTTCAGTCCATGCCTCGAGTGGGCTCTATATCTTCCCCAGCAGGGGCGGCAGCTATATTTCTGCCATGAAACTAGAGGTTGCTTGAGAACAGGCACTTGGATCTCTCCCTTGAGACTCGGATCTCACTGAGGGCTGGGGAAGGGGGGAATGTGGGAATAATATTCTCATCACAGGGAGTTCCCTGAAGGCAGAGACTGTGGCTGTCCCCTTCAGACTCAGGGCTCCCTAAGAACAGCAACTGTGTCTCCCCCATTTAGATGGGTTCTCTGAAGGCAGGTCTCTGTCTCTACCCTTCAGATTGGGGTTCCCTAAAGACAGGGAATGTCTCCCCATTCAAACAGGGGCTCCCTGAGGGCAGGGCTATGTCTCTCTTAAGACTAGGGCTCCCTGAGGACAGGGCCATGTTCCCCCTTAGACTGGGCTCCCTGAGGACAGGGCTGAGTCTCCCTTCAGACTGGGCTCCCTGAGGACAGGGCTGTGTCTCCCCTCAGACTGGGGCTCCCCGAGGACAGGGCCATGTCTCCCCTCAGACTGGGCTCCCCAAGGACAGGGCCATGTCTCCCCTCAGACTGGGGTTCCCTGAGGACAGGGCCGTGTCTCCCCTCAGACTGGGCTCCCCAAGGACAGGGCTGTGTCTCCCCTCAGACTGGGGCTCCCTGAAGGACAGGGCCATGTCTCCCCTCAGACTGGGCTCCCCGAGGACAGGGCCATGTCTCCCCTCAGACTGGGGCTCCCTGAGGACAGGGCCGTGTCTCCCCTCAGACTGGGCTCCTCGAGGACAGGGCTGTGTCTCCCCTCAGACTGGGGCTCCCTGAGGACAGGGCCGTGTCTCCCCTCAGACTGGGATCCCCAAGGACAGGGCCATGTCTCCCCTCAGACTGGGGCTCCCTGAGGACAGGGTCATGTCTCCCCTCAGACTGGGCTCCCCTAGGATGGGGCCATGTCCCCCCTCAGCCTGGAACTCCCTGACGGCAATGGCTTCTCCCCTCAGATGTCTGTACCTCACCCCACCCTTCGGCTCCCCGTGGCACCCAGGCATTCCTCCCAGGACACCATTTGTCATGCTTTGATGAATGAAACCTGCTAAGAATAACTCAGTCCTTGCAGTCTCTAAAGGACAGGGAAGGGGGAGGGAAGAGGCTGGTGATTGTGGAGGGGCTGGGGCAAGATGGACACCACCCAATTCATTCAGTAGCATTTCCTGGGTGCCCAGCTGGACACTGCCGAGAGACGCAGTGAGTGACACGCAGCCCCCTACTGTGCCATCTCTGTCTGTCAGTAACAGCCAGGAGGCTGTCCCCAGGACCCCAAGACAGAAACTTTGGCCCCTCCTTCACAGCCTTCCCACCCCAGCAGTCATCACCTCAGGGCCACCCAGCCCCCTCCATGCCTGGACACAAGCTCCCTCCTCCCCTCAGTGGAGGGGACACTTTGAGATCAGGTGTTTGGAGTGGGGTGAGGGGGCTGCTCCCAGTGGGGGCGAGAGTAACGCAGAGGGGCACTCCCTTCCCCTGCCCCCTCCCTCCTCCACTCTTCCTCACCTGCCCCTGCCCACTCCAAAACCCCGAGCCTCTCGCTGAGACTCGGGTGACCTTTCCAGCCCAGCTATTCTCAGGGGGCCCTCCGGAGTGGGAGGCTGTGACCTTACCCCACTTGTCTGGACAGCGCTTTCCTGGAACTCCACCCCCACCTGCCACCTCCTGAGAGGGACATTTCAGCCCGGTCTTGGCAAAAACATCAGCCTATGAGCCAGGCAGCCTGGTACGGTACCAGCTCTGCCACTGACACCACTGTGACCTTGAGGAGCCATTTGCTCCTCTGGGCCTCAGTTTCTCCATATGCAAAATGAATTTTGTTTAGCTTTTATGGTTTTCAAGTCTTATTTTTTTCAAATAATGAACCTTCTTGTTTAAATAGTAACATATGTGGCAACTCTGTTCTCTGTGGTAACAGGGGGAAATTGGAGGATCTATGGTCAGAACAGGGGTGACGGGCCCGAGCCCTGGCATTTAGTCCGTGACACACGTGCACGCACGCAGACACGTGCATGCGGATCAGCTCCAGAGCTCTGCGGAGCCCAGGTCACAAACCTCTGAAACCCTCTCCTGCTGGAACATTCTGGGGCCTGACAGGGCCGGGAGCTCTAGAGCCCGGGGTGCTGACAGCTGTAAGGGTGAGGTGGTGATCGTGGGCCGCCCCGGCCTTGGGCGAGAGGGGGATTGAGCCACTGAGGGAGTCCTCCAGACACCGAGTCCAGAGCCGCAGCCCCCTACAGACCCCACTGCCCTCCCCACCTGCCCAGCCGGAGGTCAAGTAGGCTGGTTTGGCACTGAGACCCCTCATGGTGGCGGGGGTGACGGGGCGAGACCAAGTGGAGACTGAGAGTGTCCCTTCTCTGTGGGAGGAGGCACAGGCTGGCTGGGAGGCTCTGGGAGCTTTTCCCTGGAATCCCTCTCACATGCCCTGGAGGAAGGCCACAGTAGCAGGGTGGGACGGTCGGCAGGGGTCCCCCCGCAGTGGCTAAGGCTGGTGGCGGACCCCAGGAAGCCCGAGGGACAGCGCAAGTAGGAGAGAGGTAGGGAGCAGCACGCTCAATCTGCAAAGTGTGAGACTTTGGTGCCAGCAGGGAATGCAGATGAGACAGGGCCCAGCAGATCCCGGTGACAGGGAGGCAAGAGTGAGGACAGGAGCAGGTGCAGGCCCAGGGTGGGAAACACGGCCCTCATACAAGGCAGGCCTGGGCCTGGGCTCCCAGTGGGCGTGAGTGCCCAGCCCCTCCTTGCTGGCAGTGGGCTGCGAGTCAGAGGTGCTGAGAAAAGCCTGCCTAGCCCCAGATGCCCAGGTCTGCACACGGGCAGCACTGCCCCCTCCCCTGCGCCACTGGCAACCCGTGTCTGCAGGCTCTCGAGAGGCCAGGGCTCCTGATTTCCCTCAGGGCACAAGCCGGGCAGCTGCTGCCAGAGTGTCCCCCAGTCCCCACCTCCCTGCAATGAACGAAAGGGAGGAGGAGAGAGACCTCCCCCCATCCCCTCGCTAGACACACACATGCATCCAAATACACACTGGGTTTGTCCCCGGGGAGCCCCTAGAGACTTCAGTCTTAGCCCTGGAAACTCCTAGACGGCTGCTACGTGCCAGGCACAGGTCTGGGCACCGAGGCCGCAGCAGTGGAAACGTAGCCGAGTTCTCTGCCTCCTCGGTGCTCACGTTCAGGTCGGGAAAGACAGACGATCAACGAGTGAAAAATTAACAGAGCTCAGGTCGTGATAAGGACGTGCTGGGGTGGAGGGTGACAAAGTGGGGGTGGCTATTTCAGATGAGGTGGTCAAAAACCGTGTGTGCGAGAAGGTGACGTTTGAGTGGAAATCGGAGCAACAAGGAGCCAGTCGTGCTTTGCAGTCAAAAGGACTCCAAAAATGTACAGTGTTTGTAAGAGCAAAGAACACGTGCCATAAATGTTACAGGACAGGGAAATTAGAACTACAGTGTATTTCTGGAGCATCTGTTAAATGCCCAGGTCCGTGATGGGAAATTCACGGGCATCTTCTCCTGCAGCCCTCTTCAGAGGCCCGTTCGTCCAATCGCATCGTCGTCACTTTGCAGACAAGAAGTGCGAAGTCCGCAGAAATGGCCGTTTCAGTCACTGAATAAGATTTATCAAGTATTGGCCTCTGAAAATGCTATAATCGATCGCACAGGGACCCTGCCTTCTTAGAGCCTCTGGTTTGTGAGAGCGAGGGTGGGGGCAGGGAGGGCTTCCTGGAGGAGGAGTCCGTGTCTATGCTGAGTGTGAAAGTCAAAGGCAGGGGGACGGTGAAGTGAGTTGGAGGGGCCGGAGTTCCAGGCGGATGGGGCAGCCTGTGCCAAGGCCTAGAGCCTGGAGCGCAGTGTGGCCGGCAGGTGACAAGCCAGTGGTTCAGAATGGCCTGGCCCGGACTGGAGTGGTGTGGGACAAGCTGGGGCTGGGGGCTGGCTGGGGCTGGGCGCAGTGAAGGGTCTGGACGTCCTTCACAGGAGACTGTGCACGAAAGCGCTCTAAGCAGAGAGGTGGCAGGGTCAGATGTCCTTTTTTTTTTTTTTTTTTTTTTTGAGACAGAGTCTCACTCTGTTGCCCAGGCTAGAGTGAGTGCCGTGGCGTCAGCCTGGCTCATGGCAACCTCAATCTCCGGGGCTCAGCGATCCTACTGCCTCAGCCTCCCGAGTAGCTGGGACTACAGGCATGCGCCACCATGCCCAGCTAATTTTTTGTATATATATTTTTAGTTGATCAATTAATTTATTTCTATTTTTGGTAGAGACGGGGTCTCGCTCAGGCTGGTTTTGAACTCCTGACCTTGAGCAATCCGCCCGCCTCAGCCTCCCAAAGTGCTAGGATTACAGGCGTGAGCCACCACGCCCGGCCTCAGATGTCCTTTTAAAAGGCTTCTTGCAGGGGCCAAGGCGAGGAGCAGGCTGGAGGGGGTGGTGCCAGCGGCAGTGAGACTGGCGGGCAGAAGTGAAGGACTGAGGACGGGGTTCCAGCCAGGTCCCTGAGGGGCCAGGGTGGTGAGCAGGACCCTGCAGGCAGGCAGGGGGGCAGGTGGGGCTCCCTGGTACGGCTGTCAGGTAGGGGTGAGTGGAGCCTTGGCCCAGGCTCTGGTGACCTGGCCACCTCTGAGCAACAGTGTTACCAACAGCAAAAGCGGGGGTGGCGGGGGCAGCCAACAGCAGGACCTATAGACAACTCCCATGGCTTATCA